GTACGATGGACGGATGGATATATGAATTTTACACATTTCGTCATACTGGTTTAAATAGTCAGAACTACTCAGAACGTCTCAACCACCAAATAACTGCTTCACTGGGAAACATTTTCCACTGAACACAAATTCAGGGCTCACTCAGTGGTAGACGGTTGGTTTTGGTTCTTGATCCGTTTATTTTTTAAATAAAAAAAATAGTTTTGTTCTGTTCTTATTGTCAACAGTTTGTTGGAAAGTTGTCTTTTCAGTGGGAATATGATACAGTGTTTAAAACATGTTAGCTAATAAAATTATTACGCTAAACAAATGTAATCTAAAACTTCTAAAAAGCTGATGTTTCTGTATATAATTTGTAGCATTGTTTGTGGGTTTACAAGTGGGGGTCTCATGGCATGCAAAAGTTTGGGAACTCCTGTAGTAGGCAATTCCTAACCCCTTATAAATGACCTCTCCATCAGCAGAAAACATGATTAAGACACACATATCATACAGAGGTATACATGAAAAGAAAAATACCATCCAGTATTGTTAAGAAATACAACTATAAAAAGTTTTGGTCATACCGCCCAGCACAACATCTCACAGTTTGAAAGAACTTGTTCTTTAAAAATGGGGTTTAGAAAAAAATAGTACTTTTAACAGAAATGTGTTTTTGAGAAGGAAAAACAATTTCAGATTTTCAATCAATCAACCAATCAATCAACCAATCAATCAATCAATCAATCAATCAATCAATCAATCAATCAATCAATCAATCAATCAACCAATTCCACACACACGTGGAATTCCCCAAAGATCTATTTTTGGACCCATTTAATTTTTTTTATCTACACGCTCTCCCTTAGGCTCCACATTTTTAAATTGAGGCTTTTATCTAAAGTGTAATCATTTTTAGACTTTAATGACTTTGAACGTGTGATTCACACTTTTATTGCCTCCCAATTGGATTGTTGTAACACCCTTTATGTTAGCCAGGCTGGTCTCTCAAGACCGCAGTTAGTTCAGAACGCTGCAGATAGTCTTTTAACACAAACAAACAAACAAACAAACAAACAAACAAACAAACAAACAAACAAACAAACAAACAAACAAACAAACAAAAAAAAAAGTGAACATATCCAGAACTGGCTACCCGTCTTTGCATCCTTCTTTGTTTTAGAATTGATTTTCCAGTTCTTATTGATGACATAAAGTCCTGAATAGACAGGCTGCTGGATATCTGCTTCACAAAGATCTGACATCTAATTTAATAAAGAGTATAAATGAGTATCCAGAGATAATACAATTGTATGTACACCTAAAAATAACTAGCCCCAACTCAAAATGCAGACAACGCAAAGCAAACAGATAAAGCACAAAGAGTCACTGACCAACAAGCAGTCATGGTTGAAATGAACCATAATGCATATATATTGATATGGCAAATAAGAGCTCACATTCTCAGTGTTGTGTAGAAAAAAAAAGAAAATTGTTTTCCTGAGATTTGAACACAGAGTGTGCCTCACTATTAACTCTGTTGGTGGCAATTTGATGAGATGCCAATTAGGCAGGGTTTTAAATATATCCTCAGGGTGCCGATCTATGAGTGAATACAAAGGTGACAGATTGGAAGTCCAAAGATAGAGCCACAGCCAAAAAAGAAAAAATCTAATAATCAGTGTTAAACTAGAAAAACCAGAAGGCTGGAGGCAGGAAATCAGGTTTCCACTGGTATTAAACCGAGCTGAATGAACAGTAATCCAGTGTGGCTACAGAAGGAATGACCTCTTTTCCGATCCTGATCTTTCCTGTGTCTGAGTGTGCTTTAAGTCCACTTCCATTTATGGTTTAAAAGTCACACGTGCAAGTAACTGATTAAACAGAGGAAGAAGAGTGGGGCATATAAAAATAAAAATGGTAAAAAGGATCATTCCCCATGGTGCAGCTGTTCGCTGACTGAATGAGGACGCAGACCTCGGCCCCTGGGCTGGATTTCCATGCCCTATTCCCCTCGCTCCATCTCCCACGATCCTTCTCCATCCCATTAAGGCAACGCTCCGAATGGAAACTGAGTCAAATTGTGAGAGAGACCGAGGAGAATTGGGGTTTCAGCGGCCTGGCATATGTGTGTCAGCATCTGCCAGCTGATGTGTGTCTGTTAACGTGGATCTGAAAGAAGAGGCTGGACTGTTCATAAATTACAAATCAAAGCAAAAAAAAAAAACTAGTTCAGCAAGCTTACTGCGAATGCACAACGCTGCAAAGGATGGGATTTTATACGGGAAATTACCAGCTAAACGTAAAGTCATCAACAAGATCCAGTCAAAGGTGATTCCAGGCGAACGTTAAAGGAAACCAGCGAGGAAGAGGCGTAGTAGACCTGGGTAGAGGAGGATGAGGAGGAGTAGGAGGAGGAGGAAGAGCAATCCAAGTGAGTCATAGAATTAACTTCCAGGGCCTTCTGCGTAATCATTTCAGCTCACGCTTCATTACAGTGAGCTGAATCACCAGACGGACACGTGGCCAGAGACTCCTGCTTTCTTACGTTTTCTTTATCACATACAGTCATGTTTGTGTGTGTGAAAGTGTGGTCATGCCTCACAAAAGGGACTAACGAAGGATGGATTGCAGAATGTCGAAAACAGTACACAAATCATCACTTACATCAGCGTTGGCAATCTACAGCACTAGTATAAGTAACATTAAAAATCAAACAAAGCAGACCTGCACAGGAAAAAAAAACATTTTTTTGTCTTTGCAGGGTCTTGGTGAGTTCTTCAGGTGTGTAATAAGAATGTAGTGGGCTCACAAAAATGGATGAGAGTGATCCTGCATTGGTATAAACCTCCGTAGAAATTTGATGGTAATTTACCGTCATGGTGGCGACGTATTGGGTGATGAATGGGAGAGGACGACGGTGGCGCATCCATGTCATATAAACTGCTGACTCCACTTGGTCATTGAGAATTTAAAGCAGAACTTGTCGTCCGATGTCTACTCTACAACCGGACACAGATGTGAAAATCATAAAAACAGTGTCATCATTGCCTGACCTGGCCCACATCCGATTGACAAACCACTTCCGATTGACAAACCTCTTCCGATTGACAAACCACTTGGCGTGCCAGCAGTCAGCCAGCTGTGCCAGCTTGACACGAGATCGGGCCCACCCCTGTCGACTCGACAGTGCCACCTAACGTGAGATAGAGGAACTGGTATGTCCTAGAGAGCTGAAACTTGAGAAATAGGTCGATTGCCCCAAATCAAGAAAAAAAGTCTCTTGGAGGTATGCCCTAAAACCAAGAGGAAGTCGGCCATTTTGGGTCAAAGGTCAAATTTTGGCCAATTTTCAATTTTGCTCACGTCGAACTTTTGCGAACTCCTCCTCGGTATTTTGACCTAATATGGGGAATGTGTCAGGGTCGTAGAAAATATCAAGAAAACCCTTTTTTTTTGTCAAAGAATAAGAGAGTTGCAGCCCTCACATTGAAAGAGGTTTTTCAAATTTCCTGCGATAAAGCTGCATCTTGTAGTTCTTCTAGGACACAGAGGGGTCACCATCCAGTGGGAATTAGAGATGTGCAGTGATTTTAAATATTCTAAGTCTAGTTTAAAATAACACTTTTGAAAAACTAGTGTGACCCTCAAATTATCCATTTTTTACCTTTTTTAATTTTCCCCCATACACCAACGATCGCTCACTCAAGGTGCTCTTTTTAGACATCACACCAAATGCTCACCCCACCTCTTGGAAAATATTAAATGTAAAAAAAAAAACAACAACTAAAAGCCTCTTTCTGCCATTGCAGTTTATTTTGAAAGGAGTACAAAGTGGAAAATATGGTCATAGGAGAGCTCAGCTTTATTCTGTGGTGCCAGGCTGGCAGGATTAGCAGAAGGACACATTTCTGTCCCCATAACCTGTTTCATTAGAAGGTTTTTAGCTGCAGGACCTTTAGTGAGTGAACTTTAATTCGTCAATGAAATCCTCAATCACGTAGATTGAGACATCACGAGAAGTGGGGTCTCTGCTGAGTAGTTATCAGCAGTCAGTAGGACTTGCAGTAGAGAGCAGTCAGATAGATCTCCATTTGGATAATCAGTGATAAACCATTCCAAGGTTGATCCGATCTCATCTCCTAACTTCGAATTAGAAGTCACATTTTGTAAATCTGCTTAAGATGCTCATTTAGATTTCATGATTCTGATTTGAAACCAAAACATAAAAGAAGTCAAGTAATCATGGCAGGTTTTTCAGTTTTATCCCGGGTATTTTTATTCTTGCTGAAACGCTACGTGTAGGATGTAGAACAGATTTTTTTTGTATTTTTACAACACCACAAACTAAAAAATCTAAACAATAGCCATCTGTGTCGCAGTCTGAGCAATCCTAGTGTATTTAAAATGAGCTTTTTTTTTGGTGGTGGAAAAACACAAATCTTTGGCTGGTGCGCGCTCGGAGCTGTTTGTTGTGATCCAGACGTTCCCGGTGTGAGAGGAAAATTAGCACGCCGACATCCCGCCGATTTACAGTTTTATGAAACAATTCCGACGTCTCCCCTCACCGGAAACAAATCTTTCTGCAGCCTTTCAGGAACAATCTACGGCACAAATCTCCCTCTCGTCCCCTCCCCTCCCCCGACTCGAGGGCACTCCTGGATTTGTTAAACAAACAAACGTCTGATAGCAATCGTTCCGTGCACGCTGATTTGCAATGCAAACGAAAGGTGATCAGTGGACGCCACAGAGAGGATGCGGTCGTTCTCTGGCAACAACAAAGGGAAAGCCCTTGCTTTGCGCCGCCTGATCCTCCTACATGTGTTCCTGCTGACACCGGTGGGAGCCTTATCTCTGCTGGCCTTCTGTGGACCTCTACACACGGCTCTGAGGGCCCCCCTCCCACCATCCAACAGCTGTTTAAGGCACGATGTACATGCAGATTATAATTCCGAATCTTAATATGTCTCTGGAGCCAAAGGGAGGTAGAAGGAAAAAATACAGGACTAACTAGATCTTACCTGGAATTCAATGCCGTAGTTCTCCCTGCAGAAGTCTCGTAGTTTGGGGTAAACGTGTTCTTTCAGTGCGTTTCTCTCTGCTTCTGTATCTGAAAGAAAAGATCGAAGAAAAGCATTTTATTCTGATATTGTTTATTTTTATTTCACGAAAGGCCACAGATTAAAAAAAGAGCATGTTAATAAATGGCAGCAGTGTATAAAAACATACTTGATATAATTTTTCAGGCTCTGATCAAAATCCATCAGCATCATGTCCTTTAGCCCTTCAGAAAACCCTCAATCTCATAGTCTACAGGTCTCAGTTAGCAGGTCAAAGGTCAAAGTCCATGACAAGACGATTAGAAAAAGACTGAACAATTCGGTTTCTTTAAAAAAAAAACATGGCAAAATGAAATGGTTGCATCTAAACGAATCACAAGACATCTGGGGCCTCATGTATAAACGGTGCGTACGCATAAAAAAGTTACGTGCGCCAGGTTCTACGCCCACCTTGGGATGTATCAAAACCAACGTTGCGTGAGAGTGCGCGTAACACTTTTCACCTGCCGTGAGAATGTGCGGCAGCCACGCAAAGCTTTTCAGCCGTCAGTTTTAACTCACAAAGTCACAAATCTGACCTGAATCCACAGAAATATGACTTTGTTGTGTTTTCTGGATGTAAGGAGCATCTGAATACGGTGTCAGATTTTTATTTAGTTTGAGTTTTTATTGTTTAAACTTGAACGATCATGAAACTGAACCCCAGGACTGAAAATCATTTAACCTCAGACAAGAAAATAGATCAGTCTAAAAATGATCAAAAGAACCTCAGTCCACTCTGTAAACTGTTTTTATATTTTTGTCACATAGTTGAAAACCTTTTGGGTCCCGGGCCGCTGTAAAGCTTTTTTGTTTGTTTCGTAACGTCTGTTCAACGCCGTGTTCAACTGAATAGACAACTAACCAGACTTCAATATCACATTTGAGAGATGTCTGTAAATTTCAGGAAAATCTCAGGCTTTGGTTATCCCATGCGAATGCGCCACATAAAACATTGTCACCCCACTCCTTATTTAGACAGTTTTCTCACTCATTCTCCATTTAATTTATATTTTTCCTGCATCTAAAAATCATTTCTGATCCCACAGAGAGGACAATCTGCAGAGAATCTCACACGCTGGACACATTTACATCTATTTTACATACTGTATTTAAATGGAGGCGTGTCAGGGGAGGTTTCTCACGTGCGCTCAGTTCCACGTTCATTGGGATGTATAAAGGAAAGGTGCGCAGGAACATGCGTATACGCATGGATTTATACATCTGAATATTTTGGTGCGTTGCACATTTCTAAATTTGTCTGTACGTCAATTTTTAGTGTGAAAGCTGCGCAATCCTTTATACATGAGGCCCCTGGGATCTTTACACATGCAGAGATGTTTATATATAATGCACAGTGCCATGCTAGGAGAAAAACGTTTGGGGCATTTTTTTAGCCTTAGACTTGTGGAAGGGTTTACCTTTTCATATAAGAACCACTGAGACCATCAAGACTTTTGGCTTTAGATTCTGACAGAGTTTGAGATTGTTTTAGAGCTGATGGTTTTATGTTGTATTTCTGTATTTTATATTAGTTGTTCCTATTTTTTGAACATTTCTTTGTTGTTGTTTTAACTGTTCATTTGGCTGAATTGTGAAGCACTTTGGTCAACTCTTGTTGTTTTTATATGCTATATAAATAAATTGACACTAACAAAAAAAAAAAACTCATAGCAACTATCAAACATGGTGGTGAAGAGGTGACGGTTTTGGCCCTGACACCTTGGGGTCACTGAGTCGATTATAAAGTCCTCTGGGGTCTAAAATATTCTTGAGTCAACTGTGAGGTGGGTCTGTTCGACAGCTGAAGTTTGGACCATGGACCAAACAATGCACCAGGACTAGGGGTGTAAGAAAATATGGATACACTGAAATATCTCTCCTTGGGCTGCTACCTTATCGTGGTGGAGGGGTTTGAGTGTCCCAATGATCCTAGGAGCTATGCTGTCTGGGGCTTTATGCCCCTGGTAGGGTCACCCATGGCAGACAGGTCCTAGGTGAGGAACCAGACAAAGCGCAGCCCGAAGACCCCTTATGATGAATGCTAACATTGGATCTGACGTTCCCTCGCCCAGACGCGGGTCACCGGGGCCCCAATCTGGAGCCAGGCTTGGAGGTCGGGCACGATGGCGAGCGCC